ACAGGAAGGGATTAGATGAGCTTAACAATTAGGAGCCGGTTCAAGACACGATTACAAATCAGAGTTTTTCTCCGTGGCGGCTGATAAGGAAACTTTCTCTTAGCAGCTGGTAAGAACGCACCCCCCCCCAACCACACACACACACACACACACACACACACAAAACCTTCCCCTCCCTCCCAGCATACACACACATACACACCCGCAGTGAAACTGGAAATTGTCTATAGGTTCAGAAGTCTTGTCTACAAATTCAGGAGACTCCAGAAGGTTCCTGGCCACGGACACAACACACAACAAGCCCACTGCTTTTCAAGACTCCGCTTTACTGCTACGACCCGCCTGAATGTCGGGGTGACGGGCAGAGAACCGCCTGGCACACACGCGCACACACACACACACACACACACACACACAGCGCAGGCAATGGCTGAACAACACCCCTTAAATTTTTTTCGACTTTTTTCCCCCACGGCTCTAGAAACATCACTTCAGACACAACATCAGACATTTTTTTTGGGGGGGGGGGTTTAAAGGAGCAAGAGATCTAAAGCAATGGTGTGGCGTGGGGAATCGCTTTCGCTGCTTTCCTGAGGGACGGCTCCTGTCTTCTCAAAGAGAGGATGTTTTGAAAGCAGCACTAACTCTGGTCGCTTATCAAACGTCTTTTTGTTCTAAATAAATAAAAGGCTGCCTGGCAAGTCTCAGGCGTCCTCCTTCGCCGCCCCCTGCATCTCTGAACCATCCCAAACCCCCTCTTGGCGGGGAGCTCTCATTCTTATTACAGGAGTACGGAGAACGCAACAGGCATTCAAAAAAACACCCCCAAACACAAGAAGCAAAAGGGGCCCTTGCTCGGAGCTCAGGAAAACCGCGACAGAGCCCCCCACAGCGTCTCTGACACCCGTTATCGTCGTCGTGGACTCCAGAAAGTAATGACAAGCCCACCCCCAGGGAAGACTTTCCTGCTTGACAATCGCTAGGAAACGCCTCCCGGGAGTTAGCAGGTGGGGAAAAACGACTGATGAACACCAGCAACCTGAACACAGGGCTGGCCGCAGTCTCGATCTGACACTGGAAAAGTCACACGAGAGCTGCAAAGTTATTATTGGGGGGCCAGGGTCCTCTTGCATGCACCCTGACCTGCCCAGAGCCACCACCTCAGCCTTAAAAAAAAAAATACAATAAAGGCTGGAAAGCTGGAGGGCAGCACCATTTTTTTTTTTTTTTGGTCCTTGTAATGAAGTCTTTGGGAAAACCTACAGGATTTACAGAATTTTCCCCTCATCAGAGATTTTCACCGTGTCTGTTGCCAGGACAATAGCACCCAAAGAAATATAGAAACTGGGGCTGGAGCGATAGTGTAGTGGGTAGGGCGTTTGCCTTGCACATGGCCGACCCGGGTTTGATCCCCAGCATCCCATAGGGTTCCCCAAGCACCGCCAGGAGTAATTCCTAAGTGCATGAGCCAGGAGTAACTCCTGAGCATCTCCAGTTGTGACCCAAAAAGCCCCCCCCCCAAAAAAAAGGAAAGAAAAGAAATATAGAAACCTAGCTACCCAGTTGGGTGTTTCTCTTTCTCTCGGGGGGCAGAAGGGTTTGCCCGGACTTCTGGAAGGCTGAGGCCTAAGGGCAGCTCACAGCTCGTGGCTGGGTGCTCCTGGCCTAGTGCACAAAGACAGGGTGGGGGGTGACTGAGCACTGGCAGTTCCCAGGAAGGAGCCCAAGAGTGGCTGATGGTTTCGAGCCTTCCTGACTGGGCACGTGTCACGCCAAGAGCAAGGCACGGATTGGTTTGGAAGGGGGCTCACCTGGGCCGCGTCTCACAAATGGGCCACCCATGTCCCTGGGAAGCACAGCCGTTGCCCCCACACTGGTGGGGAAACTGGCCTTCCAGAGGGAGTTCCACTCAGGGTCCAGCAGCAGCCTCACGGCTACAAAGGACGGACAAGGAAATCCCTCTCCCCAGAAAGCCTCACTGTCCACCTCCCAGAACCCGTCACCAGGCAAAGTCGGATGTTCAGAAAGAGAAGGTTCCTACTGCGTTCCTAGCCCCGCGGGAGGGTGCTGGGCGCCAGTCTCAGTACATCTCTGCTGCCCGGGCTCCCTCTCGGGGGAATGCAGCAGCGGCTGGCAGGAACCTGCCGTTGGCGCCTTTTCCATTTTTCATTCTTTCCTGCTCTGGAGGAAGGTCTGCAGTGTTTACTGTGGGAACTTTCTCCAATGTCCTCCGTGATATTTTTTGAGCAGCATATAAATTACGTGGATTGCTTTTTTACTTCCTTTAGAAATTTTTATCTAAGAAAAAGCAGTAAACACACACACACACACACACACACACACACACACACAAATCCCCCCATCCTCCCTGCCACCAATTAAAAACAAATTGACTTCTCTAAAACATAACGAAAACGCTTAACGCAAAACACTACATTTACTAGCCTCTATGTGCTCATTTCAGAACCACTTTCCAAACAAATAAATAGGGTGTGTGGGGGATACATAAGCGAGATGACACACGGTTTTAGAATGATTTTCAGAGCCAGGAGATAGTTCAGCAGGGCAGGAAAGGAGCAAAGCCACCGTCATACGGAAATAAGAAAATTAGATGCAAACATGAAAGTCAACACGTGCTTAAAGTCAATCAGGTTACATTTTTAATCAACGCTAGAAATGAATGGAGATGTATCCTATTCCTTCGGATTCCAAATGTCTGCTGTATCGGAGAAATCTAGTACCCCCCTTTACAGCTACTGCCTGCAGGACACAGGGACAGAAAGGGACAGCCAAGCAGGAGAGACGGGTGAGGAGGCCGAGGCCAGGAGCCACCAAAGGAATACAGAGACAACCAGAGCTTACGCCCTGGGAAACCGGAGCTCACACACAATATTTAGAAGAAAACTTAAAAATCTTCTTCTAAATTAGATTTTAAATCCTGTTCTTCACCCCAAAGATTTCTAAATCCAGGTGCGTGACCTGGAATTTCTCTCAACAGAGTTTAGTGCATGTGGATCTGACTCTACAGAAAACATTAAAAAAAAAAAAACTAAATAAAATAGAAAAATTACTCCCCTTGGGGGAAATGTATCATTTTTCTAATGTACAGTTTTCCTTTTGGTAGCATCATATACACACCCCTTGGAAACATCAGGGGTTTTTTTTTTCCCCTGATAATAATCAGAAAAGGCTGGGGGTGGGGTATTAGGGAGAGCAGCAAAAAAAGAAAAAAAAAAAACAATATTACGTTTCTTTTCTAAAAAGATACTTCCACCATCCCTCAGAGAAGGAACCGGCTACAGAAACAGTGCTGGGAACCACTGCAGCCTGTGGGTCCCAAGAGATCGTCTCTGCAGCCTCTCCAGAGATCTCTCAATCCCTCTACTTAGCACCTGCCTTGCTCATAAGACAGAGGGTCTGACCAGGTCCGAATCAATCCGAAGCATTGCCTGTGGCACTTATGACATGGGAAGGCCTTCTGAAAACTGTTGGTCTCGGTGCCTCTGTGAGGTAGGTGTCCGATGGGGAAACTGAGGCACGGAGGGTGAAGGCTGCTCTGCTTGGTTACAGGAGGAAGGCAGAGGGGCCCGGGCGCCCTGCACTCGATCTGCCCCCCCCCAGCCAGCTTGTCTAATTCACCCAACAACTCTGGCGATGGGGAAGGTAAGGGGGCGGGGGGGGGGGGGGAATCGTTCTCTTTATGCATCTAGCCGGCCATTTCTTAACGTGTCTGCGCTTTGAACACAGCTATCGAAAATAAAACTCCAAATATAAACTGACAAAACCGAAGCCGCCTCAATTTTCCCCTAACAGTCTGTGTCGAGGTTTGCAGCCGAACCTGCAGTGGCAGGGAGGAGGGGGTGGGGAGTAGCGCGGCCGAGTGCCAAGGGTAAGAAAAAGGGTGCCAGGGATGGGGAGCTCCCCCCCACAACACATCGGGGGAAGCCCCAGGTGCCAGCCTGACACAGAGGACGAGATCAGTGTCCCTTGGCATATCCCCTCCCCATCTCGAGAGATGGGCTATGAGGTCAGTTGCCGGGCAGGGGGAAAGTGAGGGGGGGTGGGGGCGGGACTCCCAACTGGGGGGGACGGAGGCACAGCATCAAATTCGTGCAGAAAGCCACGGCGGCCAGACATGAGGGACAATGGGGGCGGGGGGCGGGGGGTCTGTCTCCCTAGCAGGAGCTAGGGCTCACAGGACAGCCCACACTCTAGACTGGGAAGGGAGCAGCAGCAGGACACGGGCTTGGGGGCGGGGGGAGTCACTTAACATGCATTCGTGCCATGCCACAGAGACAGCGAGTCATGCCACAGAGCAAGCAACAGAGAAGGACGAGAAGCCACCACACACCCCCACGCCCACCTCCGGGAGTATCGAGAGTCCCGCCGGGTTTTGCCATTCCCGTCACGGGCACGATTTCGCTGGGTGGGGACAGGGCCCGGAGGCGGGCGGAGGGGCCACCATGGGGCATAAGCGCAGTCCGGGTAGACCCCCGGCTACACGGCAGGGAGCTCTCCCAGGAGAGCTCTGGCGGCTGGCAAACAATCGACCCCCATTTCCTGGGTGCGGAAGGGGGAAAAGACGCCGCAGAGGGCGCAGCTCAGAGGCCGGCTCTGAGCCCGGAGGCCCCCCCACCCCTGCCCGTCCAGTGTGCTCCAAGGTGCGGCCTTCCTTACGCCCCTCACTCTGCACCGTGCAAACAGGGCGGATCAGATTCAGAAGAACCGTAACCCGAAGTAACGCAAACGGAAGCCGGTTTTGCACTGGGTTGGCCCCCACCTCACCCCCCGCCGCCCACCCTTGGGGGGCGTCCATCTCCAGGGGACATCTGGGCCTGGCTCTTCCTCGGGACGTGCAGGAAAGCATGGGGGATGGGGGAGGAGGGAGGAGAATGAGCCCCACCCCCGCAACTCGGCTGCCAGGGGGGTCGCGGGGCGAGGAGGAGGCATGCACTCTTATTTCTACACTCCACAGCGCGGCGGGCCAAGCCCAGAATTGGTCACTGTGCCAGGTGGACGAGCAGGACGTTCTCACCCCGGATGAAAATCTGGTTGATGTGGCGCGTGAACACCTGCTGGTAGTCCACTTTGGCCTTGCGCTTTTTCTTGCGGGGCTGGCCCCGCGAGAGCGTGGTGGCCCTGGACAGGGTGCCCCCGGCACTCGAGCCCTCGGTCTGGGCAGTTCTCCCCGACAGCTCTGACCTGGACTCCTCCCTGGCCGACGCCTGCAGGGACGAGGGCACGGAGCGGGAGCGCCGGCGGGAGCTCCGGCCGGTGTCCCCGTGGCCCCACACGGACGCCACTTTCCACGTGGACGTCTGCGAGTATCTGGACAGCGTGGAGTCTTCCACGGCCGACTTGGAGTCGGCCTCCTTCTTGGCGGAGTCCTGGAGTCGCAGACGGTCAAACAGCTGTGAGCAAGAGAGCAGCAGCCGTCAGCCTTCACCACAGCCTTCCACGGCCAGAAAGTGCCAGAAAGAAAGCGCCCGACTCCTGGGGATCGGAGCGACAGGACAGCGTGGAAGGTGCTGGCCTGGTGTGTGGGTGACCCAGGTTTGATACCCGGCATCCCAGAGGGTCCCCCGAGTACTACCCGGAATGATCCCTGAGTGCAGAGTCAGGAGTCAGGCCCTGAGCACTGCTGGGTGGGGCCCACAAACCAAAAGTTTTTAAAAAAATCACAGGGCCGGAGTGATAGTACAGCAGGTAGGGCACTTGCCCATATGGTCCCCGGAGCACCACCAGGAGTAATTCCTGAGTGCAGAGCCAGGAGTAATCCCTGAGCATCGCCAGGTATGACCCAAAAATGAGAAACCACAAAAATGTTTAAAAAATTTTTTAAAAAAAACAGATTTCTTCATTACCTTCTCTGCAATTTTTACGTGAAAAGTAATAGATTTTCCAGTTTTAGTCATTACTCAGATAAATCAAAAAGTATGGTAGGACAAGAAGAACCTGCGTTTCTATTTTCTGATTTCGGGGTCACAACTGGCAAACACTCAGGGCTTACTCAAGGGGTGCTCGGGGGACCCTATGAGAAGTCAGGGATCAAACCCAGATCCAACCTTGCCACATACAAGGCAAACGGCCTCCACTGTTGTGCTACTAGTTTGAGCTCACAGCACCTGCTCACGCCTACGGTGTGACACAGGAACCCCTGCACGAGGTCCCTGGTTGCACAGGCCAGAAGCACGAGCCTGCGTGAGACTGTCTGGATGCCTGAGCTAGGGAAGACCTCAGTCTGGGCCCCGAGGGACGGGAACAGGCAGGGCGCCCCCTCCCCGACAGGAGACGCAGGTCACAGGACTCGGTGATGTCCAGGCTAGAATGAGGCTGGGCAGAGGAGCCTGGGGCGGGGTGGGGACCCACCTACCCGAGTGAGCGTCAAGGAAGAATCCCGTTCATATGCTTTGCCCAGAACTGGCTTTCGATAGGTCTCGTCGACATCGGTAAGTGCCTAGAGACAGCGGGGTGGGGGGGAGGGGGAGGTGGAGGAGGAAATAGGGGAGAATGTAAAATTGGTTTTTTCCTTACAGTTTCAAAGAGAGAATTTGAAGGGACATATCACTGGAGTCGAGCGAAGCCAACACCCACCTGCAGACCCAGCTCTCGGCTAGAAAACAGCAGGGCGGCTTCCCCGCGCCGGTGGCTGCCAGGGAAGGTATGGAAGTGTGACTCCAAGGCTAACTCCCCCTGCATCCCATATGGTCCCCCGAACACCACCAGGAGTAATTCCTGAGTGAATGAGCCAGGAGGAACCCCTGTGCATTGCCGGGTGTGACCCAAAAAGGAATAAAAAAAAAATACTATACGGACTGAAGGTTTGACTGACAGACTTGAAATGATGACCCTGCTAAGTTCAGCTATCGTTCATCACCTCATATGGATAAAATTAATCTTTTTTAAACAGATGAACTAATTATTTTTGAAGGCTGGTTTTCTCAACTTTGGAACAGATGTGTTTTGTTGTTGTTTTTTGTCCACACGCAGTGATGCTCAGGGCTGACTCCTGGCTCTGGACTCAGGAGTCACTCCTGGTGGAGCTTGGGGATCATATAAAGTGCCAGGGATCGAACCCGGTCAGCCACGTGCAAGGCTGTTCTAAGACCCCACTGATGTGACTTTTGCCGGGATAATTCCTTGCCGCGGAAACTGTCTTGGGTGTGGAGGGACAAGCAGAAGCATTTCTGTCCTCCGCTCGCTGAGTGCCAGTAGTGCTTATCCCCAAGGCGTGACAATCAGGGGAGGAAAAAAAAAAAACCAGCAGAAATTACCAGCTGCCCCTGGGAGGGGCCAGAATCACTCTGGCTGAAAGCCACTAGCCTGAAGGAAAAGAAAGCAATAAAGAGAATTTTTTTTTTCTCCTATGGCCGAAAGAACAAAAAGACTGCGGGGAAGTTTCCCTGAAGACTCTGTTGAATAAGGTACACTGTCCTGTCTTCCTGCTGTTCATCGATTTGCTCAAGTGGGCACCAGTAACGTCTCCACTGTGACAATTGTTACTGTGTTTGGCATATCAAATACGCCACGGGGAGCTTGCCAGGCTTTACTGTGTGGGCGAGATACTCTCGGCAGCTCTCCAGACTCTCTGAGAGGGGTGGAGGAACCGAACTCGGGTCAGGCCTTTGGGTTTTTTTTTTTCTTTACACACAGAGATTCACGCCCCCCCCCCCCAGGGTCTCTGTGCATCCCCCTCCCCTCCATGACCCTCATACAGGCTTTATCGATTACCATGTTCCAGAACTTGTCGAATGCGACGAGGAAGCCGGTGCAGACGCCACGCAGCCCTTTGAAGGTGCGGATGTGGACGTTCACCTTGACGCCCTCCCGGATACAGCGGTGGAGCTCCCCCAGGGGGCTGCCCTCGTGCACTGGAAGAGAAAAGTGGGAAGGGCACAGCGTGAACGTCTGCTTGAGAGAACAGGAAAGTGCAGGGAAGGCAGGCGGGACCCAGGCCGGAGCCCACCAGGCTGTGCACACGCCGGACACACACTGTCTTCACAGCAGCCGATGTTCTGGGATGGTGCCGACTTTCTTTCTCTTTTTTGGTTTCTGGGCCACACCCAGAGATGCTCAGGAGTGACTCCTGGTTCTGTGCTTAGGAATTAACTCCCTAGCAGTGCTCAGGGGACCCTAGCGGATGACGAGGATCGAACCCAGGGTGGTCGCATGCAAGACAAATGCCCTCCCTGCTGAACTATTGCTCCAGCCTCTAAATGCTTTTTTTTTTGGGGGGGGTATGTTTTGGGGCCACACCCGACTATGCTCAGGGCTGACTCCTGACTCTGTGCTCAGGGATCACTCCTGGCAGGGCTCAGGAGATCACACAGGATGCTGGGGAGTGAACCCGGGCTCAGCCATGTGCCAGGCAAGTGTCCCCTCCGCTGGACTATCTCTCAGCCCTGGCTCTGACTTTCAACCTGCCTCATTTAAAAAATCTGGAGCCACCCCCTCCCCACCACCCAAAAATGAAAATTTCAAGAAATGTCCACGTTAGCAGCGGGATTCTGAGTTCTGTGCCTTACGTTTTTTTCATGACAATTCTCACGAACCATATGTCTAGTCTGAGCCTTCCAAGGAACCGTTCCATGTCTAAAGAAAATGGATCCTAGTTCACACCTGCCTTCACACACACACACACACACACACGCACGTACTCAGATCTCTGGGAAAGTCAGCATGGCCCTGGGCTGAGCTAGCCCACGCACTAGCTCCCTGGGTTAGAGGAAGTGACCTGGCTACCTCATAAGGTAGAAAGGGATGCTGGGCCTCAGGCCCCCATGACACCCGTTAGTAAATGTCAGGTAAAAGGCAATATGGAGGCGGGAGAGAGAACTCTACTCTCGCAGGCAGACCATAAATGGTCCCCCATGCCACTGGGTATGTTTGGGGGCCACACTTGGTGATGCTCAGGGCTGACTCCTGGTTCTGTGCTTGGGAATCACTCTGGAGGTGCTCAGAAGACCTTATGGGATGATCAGAAGACCAACACGAGTGAGCCCAGCCAGGTGGGAGCCCCCTACACACACCCCCACAGACAGCACATGGCAGTTTCTGGGGACTATTTATGCGACACTTCCTGGGAAGAATGATGCGATCATGCATCACTCCTGTCAGCCTAACCAGACTGTTTCAAAGCTCAAGAGGGGGAAGTTTGGGGTTGCTCTTTTGTTTGGGGGCCAGACCTAGTGATGCTAAGGGGTGACTCCTGGCGCTGCACTCAGAAAATCGCTCCTGGTGGGTTTCAGGGCACCCTACAGGACGCTGGGGATGGAACCCAGTCGGCCACATGCAAGGAAAACGCCCTCCCCACTGGACTATTGCTTCGTCCCCTTTTATTATTTCAGGTTAGCCTGGCTTTCTGAGAATGCTGGGAGCAGAAATGTCTTTCCCTAAGGGGAAGCAACAGGCCAAACAAACGCAGGACGCTGGTTTAAGCGAACCTTCCTCCACTCTGCCCCATTTTGTTCCTGTAAGTCTGGATAACGAAGTTGGTTATGCTTGACCTCATTATACCTCATTCATGTGTTGGCTTATAACTGCTGACAGTGATAAATCTTAAAACTCCTCTCGGAAGCGTGCACCGTGCAGATGAAGAGGCGTTCTAGCAGAATGAAGGTGAAGCACACGACACAGTGGGCGGCAGAGGCAGACGGGAACAGCGGTCGTGGTGGGAAGCGGGGAGCCTCAATCTCACCACGATCTAGCCTTCCTCCTGCAACGGTTTTACAGTTCCGAGCCTCCGAGACAAAGGCTGGGCCTGAGCCTCTGATACACGAGAGTCCTGTGTGTGTGCTGGGTGCAGGTTAAATCGATGCTGGGAACAACAGTTAGGCCATTTTAACTGCCGGCGTGGCCGTGGTGAATCAATTTCTCTAGCCCAAGTGTCTAAACTAAAATTAACTTTGAAGTGGATAATGTCTGGACTCATTTTGAGAATAAGTCCCTACTCATCACAAAACCTGGGTTACTCTCTTTGCATAACCTTCACTGACTCTCAATACACACACATACACACACGTGTAGAAAAAAAAATTTTCTCAGATTTTTTTTAAATGGGGACACTATTCCTCCTCACCCACAAATCCAATCAAAAGCATGTACTCTTAACATCAAAGGAGAAATACAGGTGCTGTCTCCCGTCTGATTCTCTACCAAAATTTAGGCTTTTTCCCTCCCAAAGACTTACTAAGGTATAATTCCAGAAGGTACTCCTCTCCTGCATTCATCCAAAAACACAACATGAGAACTTCAGAGTAGGCCAACCTGAATGCAGAGCCAGGAGTAACCCTTCCCAGCACCGCCAGGTGTGGCCCAAAAACAAACCAGCAAACAAAAAAGGGCACAATCCAGGTGTCCAACACTTCCTCTGACACAAGAAATTGATCTTATCTTCGAAGAAAACTAATCTTCCACACCTCCTTCTCCTTCAACCCAGCTCTAGGTGCCTCAACTGTCCAAAGTCGGGCCCCGTGGCGCCCTGGCTAGGACCCTGCCCAGGGCATGCCACTGAGCACAAACATCAGATGCTCAGGGACTAAGACCCACCTTTCCCACAACCACCAGCCAATCAGGAGCCTCCTAAGACTCCTGCCTCTCCCGCTCCCCCTCCCATCTGCAGCACCAATTCTAGCCCTCCCTGCCGTCAGCCCAGAGCACCTGGTGCTTATTTAATAATCCTCACTCAGCTGCAGCCAGTGGTTTGTCCGTTTCATCCCCTTTGTTTGTTGGTTTGGTTTTCAGACCGCACAAGGCTGTGCTCAGGGCTTACACCTGGCGGGCTTATGGGATGCCAGGGATGGAACCTGGGTCTGCCACATGCAGGGCAAAAGCGTCCCTACCTGCTGTACTATCTCTCTGGCCTCTGTTTCATCCCCCATTTTTGTGGAAACTGGAGCTAGGGCGGGTTTTTACTTAATGTGCTCCACTTAATACAAATAAATAAATAAATAAAAACTTGCTATATTTAGTAAACTGCTGAGCTCTAGGCCAAAGAGAGGGAAGTTATGTATGCCCTGACTTACGGCTGTTAATGAGTCTGAAAGTGATAAGGGCCACAAGCGCCAACCGACAACCATTAGACACCATCAGACAGGGGGGCTGGGGCACATGCGGGCCCCAGACTTGCTCTCATTTTAGGAACACGGGTTTATTTCTGGGCGACATCTGCGGGGAGATTCTCTCTTACACAAGCGAGCCTGACACCCGGCTTTCTTCGGGAAGGTCCCTTTCCAGCACACGCGGTTCTAGGAGGGAACCCCCAATATAGTCACCCCAATAGTCCCTAGCACCACCTCTCCACGCCAAAGGTAGCGACAGACGAATGTCACCATTTGGCCCAAGACGCAAAGTAGGTCACTGCTGGCGGGGGGCAAGATGTGCCAATTCTCAGCCCCGGGGTTGGGGGGCTGCGCTTGTCCGCCCAAGCCCTGGCTCCCGCACCGGGCAACCTCCCCCTCTGCCTTTGGACAGCACGACTGCTGGAAGCATCTACAGGATTGGGGGGAAGCTCCTGGGGATACCACCAGGGATGACACCCGCCTGCGCACACGGGGACTGCGCGCCCCCACCCACCCCCGGGCGGCGGGGTGCCGGGCGTGCAGAGGGGGCTGCAAGGCGGTCTTTATTGGGGGGGGGGGGACCAGGGGCGTTTGTGCTGCTGCAGGTGGGAACTCGGGTGCCGCAGGCTCCCTGCGGCTGTGCCGCCACTGCAACACGCGGGGGCTTCTGAGCAACCCCCAATCCCCCGGGCTCGGAACCGCCCGCCCCCGCCTCTGGCCACCCGGAGGTTCCGCGCCCACCGGCCCCCGGGACATCCCCGGCGCTCCTCCCCACCACGCCCCTGCGGCCCGCTCCGCGGGGACCCTCAGCAGACAGACCCGCCCTGCATTGCCCCTGCATTGCCCCCCCTCCACCCCCGCCCCCACCCCCAGACCCCCCGGCCCGGCACTCACGGGGCATCCTCGTGAGCACGTTGCGCGGCGCCTTCTTGGTCCGGGCCGGTGCCCCGCGGCGCGCGCCGTCCCCGCCGTCCCCTTCCTCCTTGGTCACCATGAGGCGGCGGAGGCGCTGGATGCGCTCGGGGTCCGGCGCGGGGGGCTCGTGGCGGCGCCGGGGCCGAGCCGAGGGTCCGGCGGGGGCGCTGCCCGCGGGGTCGGCGGCGGCGGGGGCGCCCCGGGAGCCCGCGCCCCGCGCCCGGCCGCGCCCGCCGCCGCGCACCCCGGTCTTGAGGAAGTTCTCGTACTCCGCCAGGTTGTTGAAGCACGGCGCGTTGGGGTACGGGATGGGCGGCAGGCGCGGCGCGTACAGCGCCAGCAGCGGGTCGAAGCTGTCCGAGCTCACGTCCAGCCGCGGGCTGGGCGGGCGCGCGGGGCTCCCGGCGCGCGCCGGCCTCGCCCCCCGCTCGCGCTCCTCCATGTTTGAAAGGCCCGCAGCCGAGGCCGATGGGAACGCGGCACCGCGCAGGCGCGGCCGCCGGGGGGCAGCAGCGGCCCGTGCGCCGCGCCGCCGGGGGCGTGGCCTCTGCTCGCTGGGGCGTGGCCTCTGCCCGCCGGGGCGCGGTCTCTGCTCGCCGGGGCGCAGTTTCTGCTCGCTAGGGAGCGGGCTCTGCTTCTCGAGGGGCGTGGCCCTTGCTCTCCGGGGCGTGGCCTCTGCTCTCCGGGGCGCGGCCTCTGCTGCTCGGAGGCGTGGCCTGTTTCTCGGGGGCGCGGCCTCTGCTTCTAGGAGGCGTGGCATCTGCTTCTCAGGGGCGTGGCCTTTGTTTCTCAGGGGCGCGGTCTCTGCTCGCTGGGGAACGGACTCTGCTTTTGGGGGGCGTGGCCTCTGCTCTCCGGGGCGTGGCCTCTGCTCTCCGGGGCGCGGCCTCTGTTTCTCGCAGGCATGGCCTGCTTCTCGGACGCGCGGCCTCTGCTTCTCGGAGGCGTGGCTTCTGTTTCTCAGGGGCGTGGCCTCTGCTCGCCGGGGCGCGGCCTCTGCTTCTCGTAGGCGTGGCATTTGCTTCTCAGGGGCGTGGCCTTTGTTTCTCAGGACCGTGGCCTCTAATCTCCGGGGTGCGGCCTCTGTTTCTCAGAGGCGTGGCCTCTGCTTCCCAGGGGCGTGGCCGTTCCTCACGGGCGTGGCCTTTGCTTCTCAGGGGCGTGGCCTCTGCTCGCTAGAGGCGTGACCCCTTGCAGAGAGTGGTCTCTGCTCTCTGGGGGCGCGCCTCTTACTTGCTGGGGGCTTGGCCTCTGCTCTCCCGGTGCAGAGCTCACTCCTAGGTGCTTAGGTGCAAGGTGCATGGCTAGCTGCAAGGTGTCGCCTGACCCTACTGGGCATGGAACACGATGAGGGGCAGGGAAGGGGGTGTGTGAACGCTACAGTTTCCCATAATACAGCGGGGAAGGCGCCTGTCTCGCACCTGGTCCATTTGGGTTCGATTCCCAGCAACCCATTGGATGCCCGAACACCGCCAGGAGTGATTCCTGAGTGCAGAGGATTGCCAGGCGTGGTCCAAAAACACACACAAAGGTAAGTGGAGTTTGTAACCCTGGGTAGCCACTCTGATCCCCTGGACCGCCCTCATCCTCCAGGTTTGGGCAGGTGGATCTAAGACAGTCTGTGGTTTTTTGCTCTAGGACCTAAGCTCAGTGCTTAAGCTCTAGTCATTTGCAGGCTCCTCTGAAATACTGCCTTAGCACAACTGAGAATGCAGCTAGAATATACATATTGAGCACTTGACAAATGCTTTCTAAACGTTAGATCGTTGAGTGCAATGAAGCTATGCAGGATGGTGAGGGTCCTTCCTTTACCTGCTGCAAAATGCATTCTACACCAGTGGCTGTAATGAAAATGCATCCTATCAGTTCACAGCATTACTGAGCAACCAGAGGAAGAGCCAGCTTTCCAAGGACAGGGGAGGGAAAGGTTTACCCAAGTAAGCCCTGGTTTATCACGTCAGCAGACCATGTTCTGCCTTCAGATCAGTCCTTGCTTCACCCAAGGCCCTGTCATTACAAGAATTAATGCATTTCCTATCGCCCACAAGGCCACACAAATCTCATTCCTAACTGCCCATGGTCCCCCAGTGTTGGCTACTGTATGTGCTGTTTTTATGAATGCTTTAAAGCTTTGCAAAATTTGGAAGGGGGCCCAAGGACATCACTAAACAGGCCTGAACACATGCTTTGGAGGCAAGAGTTCTGGGTTTGATCCCAGACACTGCATGGCTTTCCCTCCCTCTCCCCTCCCTGCCCCCCAGCACCTTCTTGGAGCAACCTGTCCTCAAGCACTGAGCTGGAGATAGCCCCAGAATACTGCAGTGTAATGTCCCACACCCCCTCAAAAATATTATTTGAAAAAGGCCTGGGAATACCTTTCTCTACAGTGGAGCTAGGGATGAACATTACTCTACAGCTGTGAAATACACACTGAAATGGATCCATCCTGGGCAAGCGCCCTCCCCACTGTACTATCCAGTCCCAAGCAGTAGCATTTTTAGTACATCACACAACACCCCCAGAAGGCACAAAATACCCGTGGGTAGTTTTGTCTTTACAATTTGCATTATTTTGTTCACATCCCCGTCAGCATCGCTAAGTAGTCCTGAAGGCCCCCAACATTGCCAGGGTGGCCCCCAACACAGCTGACCGCTCACACTGAATCACTGGCCCGATGGGCACTGCCAGAAGGGGGCCCTGGGTCCAGAGCATCCTTGGAAGCGCCACCCCCAAATGTGCTTTGGGCATCGACAATGCTCAGGGGTAACTCCTGGCTCTGCACTCAGGTCTCACTTCTGGTTGTGCTCAGCAGACCATATGGGATGTTCGGGATTGACCATGTGCCAGGCAAGCACCTTATCTGTACTATCCCTCCAGTCCCCAAAATCATACTTAGAAAAAAATAAAAATCCAAAGCTATAGCTCTAGATACATGTGCGAGAGGCCCAAGCTCATAGGGCTGGAACGATAGCACAGCGGGGAGGGCATTTGCCTTGCACGCGGCCCACCGGGTTTGATCCCCGGTTTGATCCCATAGGGTCCTCCAAGCACCGCCAGGAGTCATTCCTGAGTGCAGAGCCAGGAATAACCCCTGAGCATAGCTGGGTGTGACCCAAAAAGCAAAAGATAAAAGAAAAAGAGAAAAAAGAAAAAAAGGAAGAGCTCCTGGGCACCACCAGCTATGGTTCAACTATTGAAAAATAAAACCACACCTAGTTTTGATGCTATTCATTTGCCTGGCAAGTTAATTCACCCACAAGAGTGACATCTTCCTGCCTTGCCTAGTCTATCATGGTTGAGGATTCTTCTGAGTGCAGCGATTACTGACGACCACTTTTAGGAGGCTAAAAATCACACCCATGCACACCTCCATCTTCACAGGCACAGGAGAGTACATGAGGTCAGTACCCGAAACAAGCGCCCCAGCACCTGTTGGCATCTCAAGCCACTATTGCTGCCACATGTGTCTCACACTCGGGGCACGGAGTTGGCCTCCACTGAATTCCATGACACCCTACAGAAAAGGCAGGCCAAGGGAGTGGAGTCCTTTTTTTTTTCTGAGATTTTTTTGGGGGGGCTTTTTGGATCACACCTGGCAAAGCACAGGGATTACTCAGTAATTACTCCTGGCGGTGCTCAGGGGACCATGTGGGATGCTGGGAATTGAACCTGGGCCAGCTGCGTGCAAGGCAAACGCCCTACCCACTGCGCTATCACTCCAACAAAGAGATTTTATCAATTACAGAACCTGAATCCTATTTCCTATTCCCATGGACAGGAAGGCGGGGGACAGGCAGCAACAGATGGGGTGTCAGCTAGCGAGGGAGGAGACCAGCCGTCACCCTTGCAAAAATACATTTTCTCCTTGGCTGTGAATTCTGCAGTGTGAGGCTGGGCACTGGAATGTGGGCTGCCTCTTAATTAATTCTTAATAAAGCCAAACTGTTCTTTTTTTCCCACTGAAACATGAAATAAGAATGAGAGGCATTATGGTTTTTGGGGTTTTTTTTGTGCTTTTTTGGGGGGTCACACCCAGTGATGCTCAGGGGTTATTCCTGGTTCTGCACTCAGGCATCACTTCTGGCGTTGCTGGGGCATTGAACCCGAGCAGCCACATGCAAGGCAAACACCCTACCTGCTGTGTATCACTCCGGCCTGGAGTTGTAAGCTCTTGGCAGCAACCTTTAATTCCCATCCCCTCTCTGCTCTCGCTTTCCCCAAGGCCAGCTGCAGGGCCACTCACCTAACCCACTCACGCACCAGCAGTGGGGGGACAAGACTCCTTTGACAACTGTCACCTGAGACTCCTCTGCTCTCCTATTCAAGTGCTCTCATTCTGTTTGAGAGCAGTTTTAGCATCCCCGGGATGTCCTGATAAAGGGGGCTTGAAAATGGGTATTAGGAGGCCACGGAGTAAATGCCTCTCCCTCCCCATTCAACCTGACTTGTTTTTTTTCCTCTTATTTGAATACCTAATTCTCTTCCTCCTTAAGAGATGAGCCTAGAAACGATACCCCTGGTGGGAAGATGATGATGATAATGGTACTGATGCTGACAAATCACAAAACCTACCAGTGGAATGTTTACACGTGGGCATCCAAATGAAGACCCGTGTTCCGCTTGAGATGGCAGACTGGAGACTGGCACGAGGCCCCGAGAGCTCCCCGCAGAGCCTGAGTTCAGAGGCTTTGGGCAGGCACTTTGCCATTTACTTACAGGTCTGCCAAAGACGAGAGTGCATGAAGGGCAAGAAAGGGCATTCTCAAGGTCACGGGATTCTCTAGTTAAGAACTAGAAGGTATACTCCAAATAATGACCAAAAGGAAAGAGAAAGAGAAGAAAAGTGTCTGCTGAAGAGGCAGACGGGGGTGGGGGGGATGGGATGGAAAGAGGGAAATGGGGGACACTGGTGGCAGGAAATGTACACTGGTGAATGGATGGGTGTTGGAACACTGTATTGCTGAAGCCCAATCATGGACAACTTTGTAACTGTTTATCGCGTGGTGATTTAATTAAAAAAATGTAAGAAATTAAAGAACTGGGCAAGGGGACCAGAGTGATACGACAGCAGGTAGGACACATGCCTTTTAAGCAGCCAGCCCGCGTTCAATCCCTAGCACCCTACTAGGATGCACACTAGGGTGATCCCTGAGCACAGAGCCAGGAGTAAGCCCTGAGCATTACTGGGTGTGGCCCCCAAAACCAAAACCCCAAAAGGGGACAATGCAAGTCTTGATTCATCTTCTATTCCAAGTGAAAAAGAACTTGTCACTTTTTTTTCTAATTTTTTAAATAAGATTTTATGCCACAATCTAAAAATGACTCATTTCGCAAGGCATAATATAGTTTCTTGCTTTATAAAAAGAGTAGCATGGATTCTTTAAAATGCACTTCCACGGCAGGGACCATGTTCGAACAGGGCAAGAAAGGCGGCCTCCACACTCTGTGGCCAGACACACTTGCCCTGAGCAAGCCCCCGTCCTTGCTGTCCCCTCTCCCGATGCCAATGGCCGTGCCGCTGCCCAACACAGTCCTGGCTGGCAGAGGCCCAGGAGCCCTGTCCAAGGCTGGAGGTGGGGGTGTGGGGGGCTCGTATGTTTCACGCGCCGGAGTCAGGGGGCACGGGGTCAGCTGTCATCATCCAGGATCTCTGGGTGTTCTTTCCAGAAAGCATCCCCGATGATGTCACAGTGCAAGGCCACCGGTTTCGACCGTGTCCGGGTGACTGACATCTTGGTCCCTTCCATTTCTGCTGGCAGCTTGATTTCTTTTGTCGTGACTTCATCCACCTACGGGCCAAACATTGACAATGTCAATTAGGGAGCAGAGGGAAGGGGAGGAGAGGGAGGAGGGGGAAGGGAGGAAGAGAGGAGGAAGAGAAGGAGGAGGAGATGAGGGAGAAATATACATTCTACATTTTTTACTTTTTAATCCCCTACTGCCTGATATATATGCATGAATTTCTTTTTTCTTTGTTTTGTTTTGTTTTTTTTGAGTCACACCCAGCAATGCACAGGGGTTACTCCTGGCTCTGCACTCAGGAATTACTCCTGGTGATACTTGGGGGACCATATGGGATGCTGGGGATCGAACCCAGGTCGGCTGCATGCAAGGCAAATGCCCTACCCACTGGATTATAGCTCCAGCCCCTCTTTTCTATTTGTTGTTTTTGTTTTTGTCTTTGGGTCACACCCAGCGATGCTGACGGCTTACTCCTGGATCTGCACTCAGGAATGACTCCTGGTGGTGCTCAGGGTACCGTATGGAATGGCAAAGATAAAAGCCGGGTCTGCTGCAAGGCCTTTCCCACGGCACTTTCTCTCCAGCCAATAGCACAGCAGGTAGGGCGTTCGCCTTACAAGCGGCCAACATGGCCGACCCGAGTTCGATTCCTCCGCCCCTCTCGGAGAGCCCGGCAAGCTACCGAGAGTATTCGATATGCCAGACACAGTAACAACAAAGTCTCCAATGGAGACGTTACTGGGCCCGCTTGAGCAAATTTCTTTATAACTTAAAAAAAAAAATCAAACGAAAAAAAAATCACCTCATGATGCAAATCTCTGAGAGGGAAGCTTAGGAGCAAAGGAGCAATTGCTGCATATTAGCAATAACAACAGAATGAAGAGCACGTCTGCCCTTCCACCCACACAGTGCACACAGTAGGGAGTAGCTGAGGCAATAAATGCTTTTAAAATGCCCGTAAAAGGAGACGGAGAGATAAGACAGGAGGTAAAGCGCTTGCCTTGCACACGGCCGACCCCAAATGGAATCACTTGGCAGTGCGTATGGTCCCCTGAGCCCCACCAGGAGGTCACTCAGAGCCAGGAATAAGCCTCAAGCCCCACAGGACATAGCCCAAACCTTCCCCATTAAAAAAAAAAAATCCCCAACAAAGAGCTGAAGTTGCTAGAAGAACAAATCGCTCTCCAAGTACCACTTTAATACTTAACAACAGGAAGAAACTTTACACGGAGGAAATGAATGCGGGGAGAATGTTATGCCCAGGAGCTGATGCCGAGGAAATATTGGTAGGATGAAGGATGTAGGTACGTGCAGAGACTCCTCACAGCACACTTCAGTCATTAGCGTGTACGGCTGGAGAATTTCCCCAACGTCCTGAATGATGGAACCCTCATCTCCAGCATCTAGCACTGCCGAGAGAGGGGTGTGTGTGTGTGTGTGTGTGTGTGTGTGTGTGTGTGTGTGTGTACAAGCGCATGTGTCCGGATTCAACAGTGATGCGACGAGAACAAAAGTGCCCTTTATTTATTTATTATTTTATGCTTTTTGGGTCATACCCGGCGATGTTCAGGGGTTATTCCTGGCTCTGCACTCAGGAATTACTCCTGTTGGTGCTCGGGGGACCCTAGGGGATGCTGGGAATCCAACCCAGGTCTGCTGCGCGTGAGGCAAAGGCCCTACCTGCTGTGCTATTGCTCCAGCCCCTGAGAGTGTCTTTTAAATGGTCCATTTAAGGGGATGGAGAGACAACTTGGGTTGCATCTGGCTGACTGGGTTCCCTGGAGCCTGCCAGGAGGGATCCCCGAGCACAGAGCCAGGAGGAAGCCCTGTGCATTAGGTGGGTAGGACCCATAAATCAAAACAATCAAAAAGAAACTTTGAAAAGGGGACAGCGTACACAGGGAGATTTCTGCATTCATAGGCCATTTGTTTATTTGGTTTTTGGGTCACACCTGGCGTTGCTCAGGGCGTATACTCATGGCTTGTGGTCAGGGACCATATGCAGCACTGGGGATTGAATTCAGGTCAGCTCGAAGTATTCTCTCTCCAACAGCTTAAAGTGGTTTGGTTCTGAGTTGGGGAAAGGAAACTTATATGTACTGCTTCTAAGATTCTGTAATACATTTTCCCCCTAGTTTTTTGGGCCACATTCAGCAGTGCTAGGGGCTTACTCCTGGCTCTGCACTCAGTAATCACTCCTGGCAGTACTTGGGAGACCCTTTCGGGTGCCAGGGCTCGAACTTGGGTCAGTTACGTGCAGGGTGAGTGTCCTACTGACTCTACCATACCATTGCACCTTCTGTGATTCTTATTATGGAAGTGGGAAGAGTTACGATCATAATGGTCACTGACAAAGAGGTATCAGGAGCATCCAAAATGATAGGCAATGTCACTGAAGCAATAGCACAGCGGGTAGGGCATTTGACTTGCATGTGGTCAACCTGGGTTCGATTCCCAGCATCCCATATGGTCCCCTGAGCACCGCCAGGAGTAACCCCTGCGCACTGGCGGGTATGCTCCAAAACGAAAAAAATAAAAAACAGGCAGAATCTCACTGTCCAAGGTACTCATATAAGCTGGCAGCTGCAGCCAGGGGTGTACCAGGTGGGGTATAAGCCTTGGGGGGTGGGGGGGGGGGGTGCAAGAGCATCCATTACCTTCTGCCATATCAACACCGTCCCTTTCCTGTACATCAGTGGTTCGTTGTTGTAGTTGATGTTAAACTCAGAAAACAAAATCTCATTCTTGTCTGCAGCAAGAGTCCCCTAAGAAAGTGAAAGCAGGCATCAGTGGTTGAGAAGGTTTCGTCTGCCCCCTGCCCCGGCTCTCTCTGCTCCCTCCTCCACCTCAACACCCAACAAATCAAGAAGCAGAGATGGCAGATGGCCCCCATCGGAGAAGCACTCATGGGAGGGGACCGGGTGTACAGGTCGGATCTTAAAACAAAACAAAACACAAGTCTCGACTGTAATGGGGCGAGAGGCCAGGAATGAAGGGCCTGGTGCTCGCCACACACTATGGGTGGATCTTCTCCCTGGTACCCACTTCTACACCAGAAAGGAGAACTCTGATGCTTAGGAAGATGACATGAATTGCACAGGGGCCGGTGCGATAGTAGCAGACAGTTAGTACCTGGCACACAGCCAACGCAGGTTCGATCCCCAGCAGCCTATCCGGTCCCCCAATGATCCCCGAGCACAGGAGTTAAGCCCTGAGCATCACTGACTGTGGCGCAAAACCAAATGAAAACTAAAACAAAAACCTCAATTCATATCTTCCAAATCTGGATAAAGCTACCCGTCTCCTGGTGAGTGCTGTTACATGTCTCTGGTGATAGATGAGGGGCTATCGGCCACACATGGCATCCCAGGCTGGCCTGTCGCTCTAATAATAAAAGCCAGTGTTGGGATGGAGCAATCATACAGCATGTAGGGCATGTGCCTTGCGTGTGGCCAACCTGGGTTCGATCCCCGATCCCCGGCATCCCATATGGTCCCCCCAGCACCGCCAGGAATAATTCCCGAGTACAGAGCCAGGAGTAACTCCTGAGCATTGCTGGGTGTGACCCAAAAAGCAAAGCAAAAATAAATAAATAAAAGCCAGTGTTCACCAAGTACTTACAACGTGGTTTTTTTGTGTGTGTGTGTGTTGTTTTTTTTTAACTAGACCACAGTTCCTACCGAACATGCCATTTAATTCTCACCATAAATCTATGAGGAACTGGGGCTGGAGCAATAGCACAGCGGGTAGGGCTTTGCACACGGCCAACCCGGGTTCAATTCCCAGCATCCCATATGGTCTCCCCTAAGCACCGCCAGGGGTAATTCCTGAGTGCAAAGCCAGGAGTAACCCCTGTGCATCGCCAGGTGTGACCCAAAAAGACAAAAAAAAAAAAAAACTATGAGGAACTAAGAATCCCCCACTGTACCTACAGGGAACTAAGGTAGGAAAGACAGAATTAGACAGAAGCAGGATCGAGAGGTGAGCATTCAAGCCTGATGTGTGCCAAGGCCATAAATACGAGAAGCTAGAGGAGCCCCGAGTACACTTCAGGCACCGCGGGATGAGGCCAGGGCAGCGGACGCCTGGCTAGGCCTGGCCAAGCGAGCCTGACCAAACGAAAGAGCTCAAGGGCCAAGGGGACTGTGCTCCGGCCCAACAATATCATGTGGGAATGCAGACCCAGTGAGACGGGGGTGGGGGGAGAAGACAGGAAAGTTCCTTGAGGCCAAAGGAAATGGGCTGCAGGGCTGCTATGAGTGAGACTTCTGGGCTGGAGCGATAGCACAGTGGGTAGGGCGTTTGCCTTGCACATGGCCGACCCGGGTTCAATTCCTCTGCCCCTCTCGGAGAGCCTGGCAAGCTACCAAGAGTATCTCGCCCTCACGGCAAAGCCTGGCAAGCTACTGTGACATATTCGATATGCCAAACACAGTAACAAGTCTCACAATGGAGGCGTTACTGGGCACGCTCGAGCAAACTGATGAACAACGGGAGGACACTGCGACAGTGCTACAGAAGCAGAAAGCAGGAGAAGACCCGAGACAGCATAGCACCCAGAGGGGACCGGACAGACAAATGTCCCAGGCAGAGCTCTGTACCTGCAGTCTTCCTTGGGCTTGCACGGGCGTGAGTCCAGACTGTTGTACGAGTGCCCAGAACACCGTGTTGTACAGGTTATTGATGTGGCCTGTGGGGAGAGCAGAGCAGCACTAGTTTTTCGTTTTTATTTTTCTTTCTGGATCACACCCAGCCTGCTCAGGGGCTACTCCTGCCTCTGCATTCAGGAATTCCTCCTGGCGGTGCTTGGGAGACCCTATGGGGATGCCGGGGAACGAACCCCGGTCAGTCACGTGCCAGCTGTGCTATGGCTCCGGCCTCAGAGCAGCACTGTTGAGTCCCAGCCTTCCCCCGACACCGGTGCTGCCGAGAACACTGGAGTCCCACCGCTCTCCTCTTCAGAGAGGCCTGGGGTAACTGGCCCCGTCCCCCGCAGGGGACACACGGGCATGAAGAAAGGCAAAAGAACAAGCCACTTCCTGAGGACTTTTCCTGCTGACTCATCACATGTTCCCACATCTGTTCCTGTATACCCATTAAGCTTAAGGGTACTTTCTTTCTTTTTTCTTTTCTTTTTTTTTTTTTTTTTGCTTTTTGGGTCACAGTCGGCGATGCTCGGGGGTTACTCTGGCTCATGCACTTAGGAATTACTCCTGGCGGTGCTCAGGGGACCATACGGGATGCTGGGAATTGAACCCAGGTCAGCGGCGTGCAAGGCAAACGCCCTACCCGCTGTGCTATCGCTCCAGCCCCAAGGGTACTTTCAAAGTGACCTGCTTTATAGCAGGCCAGCCCTTTCCTCAAATTCGTCTGGAAAAATCAAGAAGCAGCACATGAGAGAATGTCCTGTTTATTTCACAGTCCTGCAAGGCAGGAGGCACAACTCCAATACCCACCAAGGCCAACAAGAACAGAAACTACAGACACAGAGGAGCTGTGCCCGGGGGAGAAAGGGGGTACAGGAAAAATGTGTACGGGCTCCTGTGAGCATGTGTACGTGCACGTGTGTACACGTCTGTGTACGTGCATGCAGGAGCATGTGTATTTATGTGTGTGTGTATACGCGCATGTCAATGTTGCGCATGCAAGAGCATGTGTATTTGTATGTGTCTGTGCGCATTCGCGGCCAAGTGACATTTTATTATCTCATTCCTACTTTGGACAAACTGGCAGGCTACCGAATGTAACCTGCCCACAAGGCAGAGTCTGGCAAACTCCCCGTGGTGTACCCAATATGCCAAATACCAGTAACAATGATGGGTCTCATTCTCCTAACCCTGAAAGAGCTTTGAATATGGCACTTTTTAAAAAAAATCTCAGGGCTAGGACAAAGGAGACGTTACTGGGGCCTGCTCGAGGCAATCAACGAATAACAGGATGGTCGTGATCGTATGTACGTGATGCAGGAATATGTGGAATTGCGTGTCTGTGTACGTGCATGCAGAAGCATGTGTATTTGTGTGCTGTATGAGAGCAGGAGCATGTGTATTTGTATGTGTCCATGTACGTGAAGCTGGAGCATATATATTTGTGTGTCTGTGTACATGCATGCATGCAGTAGCATAAGTATTTGCATGTATGCAGGAGATGTGTATCTGTATGTGTCTATATAGGTGATGCAGGAGCACATGTATTTGTGTACTTCTGTGTAAATGCATGAAAGGAGCATATGTATTTGTGTGTGCCTTTGTGCATGCAGAAGCATGTGTATTTGTATGTGTCCATGTACGTGATAAGAAGCCTATTTGTATGTTTCTGTATAAATACATGAAAGAGCATGTGTATTCATGTGTTGATGTACATGCACACAGGAGCACGTGTCTTTGTATGTGCACGTGCATGCAGGAGCATATTATTTGTCTAGGTACATGATGCAGGAGCATGTGTATTTGCGTGTACTTGTGCAGCTATGTAAGTGCATCAGAAGCATGTGTACTTGTTTGTATGTATATGCAGGCGGGAGCATATATGTTTGTATTTGCATGCATGTGCACAAGTGTCTTTGCGTGCAAGAGCATAGGTGCACACATGTGAGATAAAGGTAGCACCAGCTACACGAACTCTGTTCAACACTTAGTACATATGTAGACCACAATTTTGGGGTTTTTTTAGAGCTAGAATCAGAGAGTATTTATATATGGTATTTTAATTTTCAATGACCTTTCTCCCAATTAATAAAAAATATCTGGCTGGAGCAATAGTACAGATAGTACCCTACAGAGGGTAGGGCGTTCGCCTTGCATATGCGGCCAACCTGGGTTCAATCCTGGCATCCGATATGGTCCCGCAAGCACCAACAGGTGTGATTCCTGAGTGCAGAGCTAGGAATAACCCCCAAGCATAGCTGGGTGTGGCCCAAAAAGGGAAAAAAAATAATCTCAGAAGAGTCAGAGCGATAGTACAGGAAGAGCACTTGCCTTGCACAAGTGAGACCTGGGTTCTATCCCCGGCACCTGATATAGTCCTCTAAGCACAGGAAGGAGAGATTCCTGAGCGCAGAGCCAGGAGTAAGCCCTGAGCAACACTGGATAACTCCAAAACAAACCAAAACGATAAAAGTAAATAAATAAATAAAAACCACCTCTGGGATATTGCATTCCAAACAAAATACATATAAGGCAAAGACCTCTAAGAACAAAATCGGTGGTTTATTGGGCTTTACTTACAATCTGCTTGCCGCCAGCTGAGGTAGTCCTTTAAAGTCTGGTTGCTAGGATACACCACAACTCTTCCATCAAAGCCTGGGGGATACAGAAGAGGCTGGTCCTCAAAGAAATCCCGCCAATAAAACACATAGCTGGAGGCAAACTGGGAGGCCACGTGAGTCATGAACTTACTAGCAAAGATAAGGTACATTGGGTGGAGCAAGAGAAAAGAAAACACATGACATTAGTTCAGGACCATGACTATAGGTGCAACAGAGAGATTACACAAACCACCCAGGAAGCCAAGAGATAACATGTGTTTGGATGTGATAGACTATACAGCCTGCCTCTTCTTCCGACCAGCAATTCACTAGCACCAAAGTTGACACTCTAGGATATGATGTAAATCTATGGTTCAAGAGAGGGCTTTATTTATTTATTTATTTTTGCTTTTGGTTTTAAATCTTGGGGATGATTATTTTTAAAATATGCCAACCCAATAAGAGATCTGTTCCGTAGGCGTTTCAAAATACTGCCAAATCAAATGTGTGTTTTGAATGAGATTTCCCCTTAATTAAAAAGTTTAGCAATGTTGCAATATATAGACTGTCAGTGGCCAAAGCCAACCCATGAGTCATATTCTTAGATTTATTTTTTCTATTTTATCTTTGGATCACACCTGGCAATGCTCAGAGCTTAATTTTGGCTCTGCACTCAGGGATCATTCTTGCGGAGCTTCGAGAATCCTAAGGGGTGCTGGGGATTGAACCAGAGTCAGTTATGAGCAAGGTAAGCACCTAACCCGCTGTACTATCTCTCTGGCCCATATTCTTAGATTTCTGTTTCTAGTGCAATGCCAGGTGAAAGGGACTGGAGGGAAATAAGAAGAAACTCACATAATGCTCAGGATCCAAATGGCAGTAAAACAATCTGAACGGAAACTTGCCATCATAAATTCCATACAGACCACCACCAATTGCAAAGTCTGCCATTAAGAAAAAGAAGAGGAGCTGGAGTGATAGCACAGTGGGCAGGGCGTTTGCCTTGCACACAGCTGACCCGGGTTCGATTCTCAGCATCCCATATGTTCCCCAGAGCACCACCAGGTGTAATTCCTGAGTGCATGAGCCAGGAGTAACTTCTGCGTATCACCGGGTGAGATGCAAAAAAAGAAAGAAAGAAAAAGCAGAAGCCAGGAGGTGACTAGAAATACTCTCAAGGAACAAGGCCAGGGAATTACCTTGCTCTTCTTTTAAACCAATTGCTCTTACGCTTGAACACAAAGCTGTACTCGTCGCTCTGTCCGTAGGCAATCACAATATCCTCCAGTTCTTCCATGACAGTTTGGGCACACTTGGTCATCAGGTGGAGAGCACGGCTGTCATTAGGTTTCGCAAAATTGTGCTTCTCCGCAAACCTTCAGTGGAAAAGAACTGGGATGTCCAAATGCCCTCATTAACACCACGATTGGTGGGGGATATTCAGAGAGGAAGACTCTGGTACAGAGCCAAGAACCCAAAACTCCTCCAGCCGCCACACCTAGTTTCTTTAGGACTCTAATCATTTTCTTGCCTGGGGCCAATCGAGGAAGCATAACAAGGCACGTTTCCCCTTTCCCTTTTCTGTGGGATCAAGTGATTTACTCCACAGGACTGGACAATTAGAATATAGCAAATAGCCACTCTGCCTGGCTCTTTGCAAGTTACGATAATCACTATCATTAGGTACCCAGTTTTTGTAAATTCCCGAATTTCTGTAACACTTTCCCCTCCCTCTTTCTCTCCTGTACCCCAATCCACCTGTCCGGTACTGATAAATAAATACAAGAACGTATTACTAAATGCTGTTCACCCCAAGGTGTGAGAGGGTCTCTGAAGAGCCCTGGAGGATCGCTAACAAAAAGCCGGGCAATTGGGACCTGACGGAGGGGTTGCAACGTTTTTCCCACCGGGTCCGTGCCAAGAAGTGCGTGCCTATAGGCTCCCGCGGCCAGCTCACCAGCCCCCTATTGACTTCGTGCTCAGCGCATCCAGCAAGAGGGATGCGCAGTGCTGCGCGCTCATTGGCTGCCGTGTTGCCCCGGTAACCGGGACGACGGTCGGGGGGGGGGGTGCTACCCCGGAAGCGCGCGCACTGCTCTCACCTATGGAAGTTCCTGCCGTCCAGCCGCACCACCACCCAGCAGTGGGCCAAGCAGGTGTCGTCGGCCTCGAAGTCCCGCACGTACTCGAACTTACTCTTGGCCATGGTCGCCCCTAGCTTCAGGCACCGGTGCAGGGTAGCGGAAGTGGCCGCCAGGCAATCGCGAATCCTCACGCTGCCAACGATCCACATGCCCTCCCTCCCCGCGGAAGAGAAAAGACGGAAGGAGCGCCGCCCCGGAAGTTCCTGTCCCCTGTCGAGAGCCGGCCGCTCTAGCCGCCATGGAGGCCGACGTCTCGGTCGCCTGCCCCGGCTGTCCTCTCTGGTCCACGTCCAGACCTGGAAGGAGGTGGGGATGTTTCCTTTGCAGCTGCTTCCTTCTTGCTGCAGGTCGTTCCCACGACGCTTCACAGATCCTTTTCCGACCAAGGTTGAAAGCTGAGTGGTGGTGTTTTACCCCCCTTTCCAAATAACGTCTATGGGTTTGTTATAGAAAACCTTAAAGATAGGGGCTTGAGTGCGATAGGACGGCGGGTTGGGCGCTTGCAGGGAGCGGTTCGAATCTCGGCATCCCATAGTGTCTCCTAAACCCGCTCGGATTAGTCCCTGACCACCACCAGGTGTGGCCCAAGGGAAGAAAAGAAAGGGAAAAAATGTTAAGTGTGCAGAAACTATTGGGTAGAATTTTTTTTTTTAACTAACTTTGGGGCTAGAGCCTATGATAGCACAGTGGGTAGGGCATTTACCTTGTGTATGGCCGATCTGGGTTCCACCCTCGGCATCCCATATGATCCCCCAAACACCGCCAAGAATAATTCCTAAGCGCAGAGCCAGGAGTAACGTAACCCTGGAGCACCAATGGGTGTAGCCAAAAAAAAGCAAAACAAAACAAAAGATTTATCTTTATTATTCCTCCTACAAATCATCATGGATGGTTTCTTCCAGTATATTTTTTTCTTCCAGTATATTTTTTTCTACCAGGAACGCACAAAACTGGAATTATACCTCTACAATTTTGATATTTTTTCCCACTCAACCTGGAGTATTTTCCAAAATCATTATCCAGAACATGATTTTTTTTTAATTCTTTAAAAATTTTTATTAGTGAAACACCATGAGGTACAGTTGTAGACTTACAAGTTTTTGTGCTTGGGTTTCAGTTATACAATGATCGAGTACCCATCCCTCCACCAGTGCCCATTCTCCACCACCAATGATCCCAGGATCCCTTCCACTCCCCCATCCCCCCCATCACATCCTGCCTCTGTGGCAGGACATTCCCTTTTGTTCTCTCTCTCCCCTTTTGGGTGCTGAGGTTTGCAAAAGAGGCACTGAATGGCAATCATGCAGAACATAATTTTTTTTAAAAAATGCATCATTTTACTCCGACATGTTATCACACAAAATGAATATGTTCAACTTTTTCACCACTAAACAAAAATTTTATTTTTTATTGCTAGTAGATAGTAGTAGCAACAAAACCTTGATGTTTGTGCAGTGCTTCAAGTGCTTTTTTTTACATAAAAAGTATATAAGTATGACTTCATTACATACTTACCTATTTCTTTTTGAGAAAATTTGAGACAGTAAAACAATATGGAGTGAAAAGTACATCTCTGGTTGACTCCAGTGTACTTCATATAATCACTGTTACCACTTTGTGTACATTTTTAGGGTACAGAAGGAAGTTTGAATTTTTCTGAGTCTGGACAAATAAAAGTGAACATCAGTCAAAATAGCAGGAGAAAAAAAAATCCAGCACTTAATAACATGTATCTGGAGAACTCACATGGCTGATAATTACAAAGTAAGTTGGGACAGAACTAGGGTTAGCTGTAAGGCAAAGGAGAGGACATTTTATGTGCAAGGAGGGGATGTATTCAGCTTTTGCTCTGCAAGTAAAATGATGCATCTCTCAGAAGCAAGTTCCCATGTCCATTTCAGGTTACTGGGTGAGCACAGCACAAGGTGCAGAACCAGCCCCCAAACCCCAAGTCTTATAGAACAGCCTAAGAAGGGATTGGTCAGGGATGGGGGCATATTCATGTCAGGAGACACAAACACTGCGTGATTCTGGAAACTCAACAAATAAGGCTGGAGCAGTCAGATTCAAAGAGACAGGGCACAATGACTGTCGCTAGGGACTCAGGTTTTGATTCAGAGGTTTTGCATGACTTTCAGGGCATTTTTGTTTGTTTGTTTGTTGTTTTTCGCTTTTTTGGTCACACCCGGTGATGCACAGGGTTTACTCCTGGCTCATGCACTCAGGAATTAATCCTGGTGCTTTGCTCAGGGGACCATATAGGATGCTGGGAATCGAACCCGGATTGGCCGCGTACAAGGTAAATAGCCTTACCTGCTGTGCTCCAGCCCCACATTTTTTAATTTTATATATTTTTTAATTTTTGGCACCATGATTTACAAAACTGTAAATGACATGGGTTTCGTGCATTTGTTCCAACACCAGACCCTTCATCAGAGTGTCTTGATTTTTAATTTTTTTTTTTTTTTGCTTTTTGGGGCACACCCAGCAATGCTCAGGTATTACTCCTGGCTCTGTGCTCAGCAATTATTCCTAGAAGTGCTTGGGGGACCATATGGGATGCCGGGGATTGAACCCAGGGCAGCCACGTGCAAGGCAAATGCCTTACCTGCTCCGGCCCAGACTGTCAAATTGTTTGAAAAAATTCAGTTTGAGATGAATTTTCTTCAGGATGAAAAGCATTCTGAAGATTGGTTGCACAGCAACATGAAGGGACTCACCACTCCACACACTCAGAAATGGGCCAAATGAAAACTTTTTATTTCTTGTGAATTCTACCATAAATTTAAAAATTTACAAATGTGCCACACACAGCAATTAGTGACCTGACTGAAGAGTGACCTCATTTTATTTTATTTTTCCTCTCTCTTAAGATCAGCTTCTATTAGAAGCTCCCTTACCTAGTGGGGCTGACGGGAAGGGAAGTCGAATGACCTCGGGGTCTGGTTTGTGTCTGGCTTCCCCGATGCTGACTCACATTTGCACTCAGAGCTGCATTATGTAGATGCAATTCAGAATGAGGCGGGGAAGGAAGAGGAATAATTTGTGTCTCAAGTCTCCCTGGGAGCCTCTCTAATCAAATTTCTGGCTGGCAAGGATGGGTAGGCTTCCAGGAAAGAAGCCTGTCTGGTTCTCTCATGGCTCCGAGGCACAGAAGCATTCAGAAAGCCCAGGATGTGCCTGTGTAGAAAATGGAAGGCTATTAATCTAGACCCAATAAATGGCTAAGGGGCCTTGGAATTTCTAATTGTATTTATTCTGCAGCTTTGCGATGATGCATGCGGAGGTCAGAGTGAACGGATTTTATTTCTAAATGATCACTGTGTGTCTCGAAACAAGGGCCAGCTTGTGATTCATTCTGGACTGAGCAGAGGTTCCGGAAGGCAGGAGGATGTGGTCACTAAGGGTCATGGACAAGACTGCAGGAGAACGGAAAGGGGAAATGAACTACGTGTTTCCTAGCCCCTTGTTGCGCTGGAGCCCGTGATGGGCTCTTTCACTGAAAATGTATTTATTCATTTGCTCTGAGCACCCTGCATGGTAAGATCCAGTAGCCAAAAGCCATCTGGGTGCCTGCAGTCCATGAGGAGGATATATTCTAAACACATGTTGGCCCACAGTTGGCAGTGCCTCAGCACATGTTGGAAAGCCGGGAGACCCATCCTGGTTGGGGATACATTAGGAATGGTCCCTCTCATTTTTCCTGCAGGGAAGCAGTGTTTAAACTCCAACCCAGGCTGGAGCGATAGCACAGCAGGGAGGGCATTTGCCTTGCACACGGCTGACCCAGGTTCAATTCCCAGCATCCCATAGGGTCCCCCGAGCATCGCCAGGAGTAATTCCTGAATGCATGAGCCAGGGGTAACCCCTGTGCAACATCAGGTGTGACCCAAAAAGCAAAAAATAAAATAAAATAAACTCCAACCCAGATGAAAAGATCAGAAGAAGATAGCTTTGCTACAACAGGTCTGAAATCACTGACTTTCAGTTTGAATGAACACTGGCTTAAAGCTTGTGGCCTGCTTCATCAGGTATAAGATCAGTCCCCACCCTTTTCTCTCTGGGGCCCACACTCAGCAGTGCGCAGGGCTGACTCCTGGCTCGGTACTCAGGATCACTCCTGGCAGCGTTCGGAGGGGCCTCAGTGCAGTTCCAGGGATCAAACTTGAAGCTATTCCAGACACTATTTCTTCGGGCCAATCCCCATGCTTTGCTGCCAAGTGCAGAGCCCTCTCTCTCTCTCATCATGGCCTTGCTTTCCAGTGTTCAAGCAGACAAGTGAGGCCTTTTGCCTGTCTCAGCTCCCTTTCCCAGATCCAGATCACAAGGTTTGGGTTGCAATGACCCAACTCATCTATGCTCCAGGGAAAGCACATGGCTCCAGATCATCAGAGTGACAAAGACAGGCAAGGGATCAAGTCTCACTGAGCGCTTGCTAAGATAAGGTCATCTGAAAGACAAATGTAGAAAAGCGATCCTTGGAATAGAGTAGAGGTTTATACTGCTATATGCAGAGGCTGTGTATCATAAGTGGGGTAGTACCGAGGGTAGGGTGCTTGCCTTGCAAGTGCACCAAGCAGGGTTCGATCCCCAGCATCCCATGTCATCCCTGGAGCCTCATCAGGAGTGATCCCTCAGCACAGAGCCAGGAGCAGGCCCTGCGCACCACCAAGCATGGTCCCCCAAACCCCAAAATCAATAAAAATAGTTTCACTCTATTTTTATTATACTCTCATAATCTGAGAAATACCTCACACCACCATCATTTGACAGATAAAGAAACCAAGTAGTGGAAGTTATCTTGCCCGAGGTCACGTGACCAGTTAGAGACTAAATCCATACAGAACTGCTCAGCTGCCCTTCCACTGCCCTTCCCTCACCCATCAGTGCAATGTTCTTCTATCCATCAAAGGTACTTTTGTTTTAGCAGCAGGAGCTGGAACGCAGATGTCTTGCGTGCAAGGCCTGCACTTTAGCACTGGGGCGTATCTCCTGCCCACAGATGCACTAAGGGATTAGAGCCTTTCCCAGCAATGTAGCTCCATAGTCACCCAGCAGGGAGAGAGAGGTGGGGGCAGGGCACACAGCTCAGAGGGGAAGAGAGAGGGGGAGGGGGAGAGGTGAGGCTGTGAAGGGAGGAAGGCCGAGAGAGGAGAGAGGAAAGGGAAGAGGCAGGAG